GGTTTGTACACTTGCTGGCTGCTAGCTCGATGGCCTCACCACCAGACAATGTTCGGAACTCTGCCAGGTTTCGCAGTTTCAGGCGCCGGGCAACCTAGCAGAGCCAAAGGAGTTTACAGTGGCAAATACTAAAGAAAACATACACAGACAAATGCCAGACACACTTTTCATATTATGTAGACAAGAAACACATTCAAGATGGCTATCTTCTGGGTTGCTGCACCATATAATCTGCTATAAATTTACTGAAGTTACAGAGGCACCAAGCACCACTGAGATGTTGATAAACTTTAACCAGACTACATGGCACAACTCAGAAGAGAGCCATGTTCATACGACTTAGAACCTGAAATCTCGAAAGAAACACATACAAAGTTCTGATGTACAGCAGCTACTTCGAAAACAGAAAAGGGGGGGGGGAGAGAGAGAGAAGATGCTAGGAACAGTGTGAATGAGTGGAATCGACATGTCAACGATGGAGTCCAGTGGCAAACCTTCGGGTTACATGAACTTGATAAGCCAAGTAACCTTTAAATTACACCAAATTACATGACAACGTATGAGACCTGGGAAACAATATAACAAATATAGTAAGAGAAAGTCACACGAATAATGCATTATGATACCCAGGACTTTCTTACAGCTCACTATTTTTAAATTTACTTGTTTTTCTCTTTCATAAAATGGATTGATTCAAATGTAATTTAAAATACAGTATTATCCTGTTCAAATATTTTGTTTTGTTTTGCCTTAACAGCTACTGTCATATTAACCTTGTCAAAAGCCTCTCCTGGCGCATCATCCAAACTCTGGCCCAGAAGCAGGAATCTATCCACAGCCTGCGCTACAGCTAAGAGACAATGCCCTCCAGAAATAAGAAGAACCAGGAATGGAAAGTCCACCTGAATAAAAAAAAAAGTCATCATCAGAAAACCATAGGGAGATACACAAAAAATGTAAAGTAAATAATCAATTAACTGAATACAGACGATAATCAGCTGTTGCTTCTTGCTCCTGGCTTAAGCCCCTAAATTACAGCTGTGCTCAGGGTCCAGTTTTCAGTATAATTTCCACACAAGAGGCATGAGTACACTTTGACAGGTCACAGTACGAAACATGCATTTTTTGAAGGGGGGAGAAAAGTCTGTGAAGTTTTGACATATCGTTACTGTCTTGTTTCCGTTGCTCTTCCTTCCTTGTTCATTCTGTTAGACCCTTATTCATTCTTAAACTGTTATAATTTCATGATCACATAAATATGACGTTTGGTGGGCAATGTGAAGCCTGCTTGAATAACACAATTCTAAGATCTGAGATTCTCATGGCAGTGAAGATGTAGATGAAGGTCATCTGGGTTGCAATGCTGTGTCATCTTGTAGGTAGTTATCAATGTTTTAGAGGAATAAAAATTCAAATGACAGATACCAGTCAATTAATCCTCTAATCTGTCAGCCCTACAAGAACTCGAGATGCTTGAACGTACCTTCTGCACCATTCGAACCGTGAGGGCATGGGCCTCCATGTGGTGTATTGGGATTAAAGGTTTCCCAGAGATGCGTGACAGGTGTTTCCCATAATTCATTCCAACAATAAGCGACAGGGGTAGACCTGAAAGGTATTTTACTTGTTTCAAAATTACAAAATGGCTGAGACTCCTCTGTTACTGAAATTTGATGAAACATAACAATGTGGAAAAATTATGATTTTGAATAATAAGCCTGTGTAATATGTAAATAATTAATAAAACATGCAACTCAGTTAAAATGCAGCAATATACATGTACACCTTACATGAACTCTAACCTCATTTTGGGTTTACATAATAACACCTTCTCAACTGCATCAAATGGCAGACTGTCTGCTAGGAACAAACTGGTAAAAATATGAAAATGATCATAGCCTATTTTATGGCGGCTCTATCCCAGTGCCTGCATGAAACAATCGAGAAAAGTCACAAAGAATGACGGTCTGAATACTTGCAAGTTCATGAGAACCAAAGACATCAAAATAAAGTTGTGTGGTAACACTTTGGTAACTTCAGCAGTACATGCAGTCTAAAACCATTTCTGATAGCATAAAAAAGGCAATGAACTGACAAGGTTCACTACAAATTCACGATTCCATCATTCATTTTCAACATTCTCTTCTCTTTCAGGAAGTATTTTCAGATCAAGCTCAGTAAGCAAAAATGTAAAACAAAGGAACAGCGCCTGTTCTTTAGTGTGGGGCATGCTATTTGTCAGCAGAACAAGACAGGATGTGACAGACCACATACAACACGTACTGTAGTGAGTATTAACTCTTGTAATAATATTACCACACAAGTTGCCGCTTATAATACAGACATAGTGTAGCTGCATGTGTGTGTTTTAACTTCTTTTCTGAAGAGAGAAAAGGGCATAAATTCAGAATCTGTCATTTAATTCAGACTATTTTAATATTTTTTATGTAAACAACATAAAGCAGAATGGAAACATAAATAATCTAATTAACATGAAGCATGACAGAAATAAGTGAGCAGCACACACTCTCACTACGTTAAGATTTAAAACTTTCACAGCACAATAATTTTGTAAAATCCCTTGGGCCTTCAGTCGCGTTGTCAAGTCAACATTGACTCAGTTGCATGTTAGGGAAACACAGAGAAACTGAAGCAAGGCAGAATTTTATAAAATTATCTTCCCTAATATGCAATTTTATTTTCTACTGAATTTTCCCCATAATTTAACTTGTCATACAAATTCATAAGATACACAAACATCCATACCAGGTTTCACAGTTGTTGCTATTGCATCCACATCTGACAGCTGAAGACTCGCTGCCCTCAAGGCATCGTTAACTACACTTTCTATATGTTGCTGGTGTAGGTCACGAGCAATTGGAGGAATTATGCCACCATGGCTGAACAGAAAAGAACAAAGTGTCACTGCATTGAATTTACAACATTTCTTACATGTATAAATTTCAATGAACACCTTTATTACTTGAGATGAATCTGCTGCTGAGAATTCATTGCCTCCCCCAGGAGCCTTCCATTACTGTCCACAATAGCACACCCAGTGTCATCACAACTTGTTTCAATTCCAAGCACGATGCCTGTGACTTGACTTGAGTAACATCTGATGTCTCTAAAGTTCATCACAATTTTTAAACCAGGACAAAGCCTTGCAAGTTGTTTCCTGTGCTCAATTACGTGATGCAGAAATTGTCTACAAATGCGGTAGGAAACTAATGTTTGAATTTGTATCATGTTCAGGTAGTAAAGATTCTCTTTCCCATATAATTTAATCGGCTAATGCGGTGGCGTATTTTAATTATAATGATCACGCTAATACAGTAATTAAGTATCACTTAAATTTTACGTTACGCTTGGAAATTCACGATATCAACATTGTTTAAAAATTTTGTTGTTACGTAACGTACATACGTTCCTTGCAATGAAATAACTAATGTCATAACATATTTTCGAGTAACATGTTAGGATATGTAAACAGAGTGCAACAAAACAACCATCACATTTTCAGGTTATGTTTGGGCTTTTTACGAGAGCGCAAGTTACCTTTGCTTTTGATTATCTGTGGAGGTCTATTCTTCTTCTTCTTCTTCTTCTCACAGCAAAGGCTTGTTTTGGGGCCTCCTCCTTCGTCTTGTGTTTTCAATCCATTTTGAAGAACTAAAAGTCGTAAAAAATAACTAGTTACTGAAAAATACCACAAGAACAACAAAGTAGAAAGTAAATGTGGAAGAATGGAGTTTGGATACCACAAGAAGAATTCCATTCCAGTCGCTGAAAGAAACAAAATGTGAATGACCTGCATGGGAATTTGTTTAAAAATCCATACTAATATTTCTAGTAAAATTATCAGGAGGTCTTTGTCAGTGCTTGAAAATGTGGAAGTTACATGCCGAGCTGATTATTATAATATATGCAAAAGTAATTCCTTTAAGAATTAATAGTTTGGAAATGTTAATTAGAAACATGGTTTTTTGTCTGTAATGAACACAGGTAGACACAACACTGAGATCGGAATAGACTCTTCAGATTATTAGACAATCCACAGGGGAATTAAAAATTCATATTGCAAGGGTAATTATGCAAGTCCAGGATATTGTTACAAACTGGAACCTGAGTCTGATATCTTTAATGTTTCAATGTGTTATGTAATTAGGCATATGCTTCTGATAGAGTTTGATTCATTCTGAAGGCAGTGGACTTCAGCGGGTTAAGATGATGTGCATTTTCTTAAATAATGTCATTTTAGAATTCAAATATTCACAACCTTTATAGCATCACTATTACATAAGGGGTTGATAAAAACAAAACACATAACAAACTGATAATTAATATTAAAAAAATCAATTTAACAACATTCTTTCATCACAAAACTTCAAGCAAAGAATTCAAAAGTCCATCTTATTCAAGATGCTATCAGCTCAAACCCTGAACTGGAGATTGGTTGTCCTAACTTGGATCCATCATAATTTTCATCATTTCAAGTCAAATGATGGTAAAATAATGTGAAATTAATTACAAATTTATTTAATCTTCACAACTCAACAAAATCCCATTTGCTGTAGTGATGATGTGTTCTGATTGTGTCAAATTGCAGGCGAATCTTCATATAGAACACCACCACACAACTAGAATGAGAAAGATTTTTATGGACATTCACAGTCCTCCATGTGCAAAATATTTTACATATGATCAGGTAACCTTGATGATAAAAAATATGGTAATATTTGTAACAGCTGGACTGTAAGTGTTCAAGGAAGGGTAAGTGAGAAGAATGAGTCTATCGGGAATATATATCAAAGTAGCATTACAGTAAGCTCATCCTGTTTGGCCAAAGAACGACGCATTCCCTTAAAATCAAAATTTGCAACAGCCCGGCACATCACACAAATATACAGTCAGACAGCCCTCATAAAAAATGATTCATAGGTTTATGAATATAATTGCACTAAAACTGAAATTCTATCACATCATGTTTTTTTTTCTCCAAACTGGCAATTTTTGGCTGACTAACCACACTTTACCTTATGCACACTGACGAAAATAAATGAGTGGCATTATTTCATAATAAAACCAGATTAAGGGCCCTGAGATTTATAACCACTTGAGAACGTATTACATGTGAGACTTGTAAATCCTAGGCCAATTAATGAACTCGTCGTGGATCAGAGTTGCGTTCCGTCCACAAACAGTTCACTGCCAAGTCCAAACAGAAGACACAGATGAAGTTAACTGAACGAACCTCTTGTATTCTCCCCTTGAGCGAATATTGTGTGCCATTAGTATGTGATAAAATGCATTTAAAATACAGTTCTGTTCACATTAAACACATCTTGCTACACAAGAAATGTGCTTTGATATTAACTATTGTATAAAGCATATTGAAAGCGATATACATCAATCAAACAATTAATTTAAATTATGCTATTTTAATGACCGGCAGACAAACACGAGTTCATTATATTTTACGGATTGTAATGAATTGACGTGAAACTTGAGGGCCAATTAAAATATATAAGTATATGGAAATAACACCATATATAACACATAAAAATGTTTAAACAAAATCTTTCTTTTTTCATTCTCAGTAAAAATAGCAAATTTCGGGCGTGCAAT